CCCCCAACTTTATTACCGGGGACCCCCAACTTTATTACCGGCGCCCCCGCGGTCCCTCAGCCGTCCGGCGGGGCAGCCAGGAGCCTGCACAGCGGGGAGTTCTCCAGCTGCCGGAAGGTCCTGGAGCCTGGGCCGGGCGGGAAAGCTCCGTTAGTCCCCGTTACCCCCCGTTCCCGGACCCCCGCCCGCCCCGGGGGTCCCTCTTACCGAGGCGCTCCGAGAGGCCCCGCAGGCAGCGCCGGCTCTCCTCGCTGAAGGCCGTCAGGAGCGCCCCTGCCTGGCACAGCTCGTCCAGCTGCGGAAACACCGCCGGACACGGCCCCAAGTGAGCCCAAAGTGACCCAAACCCGCGCGGTTTTGCCCCAGGAAAGCAGGGCCGGACTCACCGCGAGCTCCACGGAGCGCAGCACGGGGCCCTGGTCCAGGAGCAGGTGGGAGTAGTCGGGTTTGGAGCCCAGCACGGCGCTCTGGGAGCTGGGCAGGGCCGGGGGGGGCCCGGCGGGGTTGGCCCGGAGGGTCTCCAGGAGCCTGCGGGACCCCAGGGGGGTGGGATGAGTGAAAAGGGCCCAAAATGGTCCAAAATGGCCCAGATTGGGGGTTTGGTGCCCGGGGGGGGCAGCCCCCCCTCACCTGGCGGCCTCCTGGGCGCTGTCCTGGTGCTGCTGCAGGAGCTGGTCCCAGGCCTGGCGCTCAGCAGAGAACCTGCGGGGGACAGAGGGGACAGGTGTGCCCAGGTGTGTGCCCAGGTGTGTGCCCAATGTGTGCCCAGGTACGTGCCAGGTGTGCCCTCTGTGCCCACGTGTGTGACCAATGTGTGCCCAGGTACGTGCCAGGTGTGCCCTCTGTGCCCAGGTGTGACCAGGTGTGTGCCAGGTGTGCCCTCTGTGCCCAGGTGTGTGCCCAGGTACGTGCCAGGTGTGCCCTCCGTGCCCAGGTGTGCCCAGGTGTGTCCAGGTGTGCCCTCTGCACTCCAGGTGTGCACCAGGTGTGTCCCAGGTGTTCCTTTGCACTCCGGGTGTGTCTTGGCTGTTCCCTCTACACTCCCAAGGAAACACCCCTGGAATCCCCTTGGGAATAAATGCCCACCTCCGTGGGGCAGGTGTGCCTTACCTGGCCATGTGCTGCTTCACCTGGGCCACGGGTTCATCCAGAGCCGAGTCCAGGGAATTCCTGAAGCACAGGGAGAGAGTTGGCTCCATGTCAGGGGGACACAACTCCCACCCGAATCCCAAATCATGGAATGGGTTGGGAAAGGCCTGGAAGATGATCCAGTGCCACCCCCTGCCCTGGGACACTTCCAAGGATGGGCCAGCTCATTAAAATGTTAAATTAACCCAAATCATGGAATTGTTGAGGCTGGAAAAGCCTCTGAGACCTTCAAATCCAACACTGCCAAGGCCACCACTGAGCCGTGTCCCCAAGTGCCACATCCACAGGTTTTTTGGGCACTCCCAGGGAAGTGACTCCACCCCTTGCCCTGCTCAGCTTGTGCCAGGGCTGGGGACACCTTTAATGAAGGGATTTTCCCTAAAATCCGACCTGATCCTGCCCCCAGGATGAGCCCTCACCCCTCGGGATCCTCCACGCAGTCCCGGAGTGTCCCGTCCTGGTTCAGCCTCTGCACCAACCGCCCCAGCTCCGCCGACACCGCCTGCACTGCGGGGGAAACCAGGGAACAACCGGGATCAAACCCTGCTCTGGAAAACCAGGGCAGCCAGAACCCCCCAGGCCCTGCCCTCAGCCTCCCCAGAAGCCATTCCAAGTTCCTGGTTCCGTCGGTTTTAAGGATTTAAGGAAGGAATAATCAAACCCCCGAGGTCACCGCCTGTCTTGGGGCCTCCGTTCGTGGTTCCGTTTCCTGCTCTTGAAAAAACCTAATTCCCAAATTTTCGGGGTGCCCACCCCTTCCAGGAGTCAGATAATGTTAACTGTGAGGGGATCCCAGGGAAGAATCCCTGCTTTTAAGTCTGAAGTGACCCTTTCTGATGCAACAGTCCCAGCTCACCCTTGGCAGCAAAAGCCTCGGGGCTGAATCCCTTCCTCTGCCTCAGGACCTGCTCGAGCTTCTGGGCAGTAAACTGGGGAAAAAAGGGGAGAAAACAGGTTTTATCCAAGAAAAATAAGGAAGGTCAGCTTTTATCCCCATCTCCTGACAAAGGGAAGTCAGCTTTTATCCCCGTTTATAACAAAGTTTGTGGGAGGAGAAAGGAATCCCCCCATTTGAGGAGCCAGTAAAGCAAACCCAATGTGCATTTGGGGGGAAAAAGGGAAAATAAATCCCTAAAAAAAAAATAATACCTGGAAACAGGAGAGGATGAGCTTGGAGAGACGTTCGCTCTCAGGCAGGTCCAGGCTAATGGATTTGCTTAGCTCTGAAAAATCAGATTAAAGTTGGTTAGGAATAATTAAATTCACAGAAAAGGGTTGGAATGAGCTCAAAAGTTCCCAAAAGCTGTTGTTGGACAGAAATGGGGGGGTGCAGGACACAGAAGGAGCAGGGGAAAGGGAGCAAAACGGGAGAAAGAAAGGGAGAAAGGGGGGAAAAAGAAAAGGAGAAAACGAGGAAAAAGAAAGGAAGAAAAAGGGGAAAAAGAAAGAGGAACAGTCACGTTTAAGGATCAGGACTTGGGGAATAAAAAGGCAGGAGCTGCAAAATCCTCCTGAACAGAAGCCCCAGCACAGCATCTCCACTGACCCTCAGATCCCTCCCAGGCCACTTCCCAGGGGGCTACGGGCAGGTTTTAATGAGGAGTAGCCCAGTGAGGCCCCAGTGAGGCCGTGGGGCACCCACCAGGGATGTCCTGGTGCACGGGGGGCAGGGATTTGCGGCGCTTGCTGCCCTTGAGGCTGGAGCGGCACCAGGAGCGACGTTTGCCCTGGGGGGTGGCGATAAGGGGGGACAAACTGAAGGAATTCAGGCTCTGCTCCTGCTGGGGGCTGCTCCCCTTCCTCCGGGGGCTGCTCCTGAGGGGGCTCAGCCTCAGCCTGGGGGTGCCCAGGGGTCTCTTCCTGGCAGATGCTCCGGGGGTTCCGCGGTGCTTCGGGACAGCAGGTGGTTTCAGGAAGGGCTCAGCAGCCGCCTTCTTCGCTCCAGGCTCGGGATCTGAGAGAAAAAGAGGCAAAATCAGCACATTAGAGAGGTAAAAAGTGACTGGGGGATGCTGGTGGGGGCCCTTCCTACTTGGGATTTCCAGGGTTCTATGAGATAGGAAAGGGTTTTCCCAAGGAGTCCAGAGAGCTGCACTTGTTCTTTGGGCTTTTATTTTTAACTGGGAGGGGCAGGAGAGTGAGGGGGGATGAGGGGACCGTGGGGAGGGGACAAGGGAGAGGGGGATGAGGGATCAGGGGTGAGGGGGATGAGGGATCAGGGGTGAGGGAGATGAGGGATCAAGGGTGAGGGGGAATTAGGGAACAACAGTGAAGGGGGATGAGGGCAATAGCACTGAGGGGCCCCGAGGGGGGTCCCCACCTCGCAGCTCCCTATATCATCCAACCATCCCCTCCCCTCACCCCCGAGCCGGCGCCCCCCTCCATTCCTCCTCCTCTGCCCCCGTTACCTGCCGCGGCCCCTCCGGGCTCTGGGCGGGCTCCGCCGGGGCAACGCTGAGGGGAAAAACCGTTACGGGGCTGGAAGCGCGGCCGCCCCGCGGCTCCCCCCGGCCGGGCCGAGCCCCTGCAGCGCTCACCTCCCCGTCCGGCCCGCCCGGGGCCCGCGGGGACGGAGGGGCGGCCGGGCCGGGTCCCGCCGCTGCCTCCGGCGGCTCCGCCATGGCGGGAACGCGCCGCCCGCCCTCAGCCCCGCGCGTGCGCGGAGCCCGCCCGGCGCCGGCTGCCCTCACCCGCCGCGCGTGCGCAGAGCCCGATTGGCCTCGCGCGCTCTCTGTGGCGCGTGCGCGGAGCCCATTTCGAACTTCCCGCCCCTCCCGCCTTTCCCGCCTCGCGCTCTTCCTGCCCCTCGCGCCCTTCCCGCCCTTTCCCACCTCACGCCCTTCCCGCCCCTCCCACCTCACGCCATTCTCACCGTTCCCCACCCTTCATGCCTTTCTCACCCTTTTCCTGCCCTTCCTGCCCCTCACGCTCTTCCCCCCTCATGCCTTTCCCTCCCTTTTCCTGCCCCTCATGCTCTTCCCACCTCACAAACCTCTGCTCCCCTATCCCCCCCCAGCCCCTCAAACCTGAGAGAAAAAATCAGGAAAAAAAGTGGAAAAAAAAAAAAAAAGGCTTTGGAAGTTTATTATCTTTGATAAAATCTCAGCTGAAAGGGGCAGACTGTTAACAGCAAATGCACAAACCCCCCTCGTATCCTGGGAGAAATCCCGTGGTTCGGCTGTTTTGTGGTGGTTGGGGGTTTTTTCTTTCTTTTTTTTTTTTTTTCCACTTTTTCACCGGAAAAAGTAAAGCCATTACATTTTCCGACGTTAAATGACACCGATGGAAGGTCCGACCCGCGAGCGACGTCCAGTGAGAGGTTTGGTAAAGCAACGTTCTGATTAATTCACTAAATCAGTTAAGAAAAGCTGAATTTCCTATACAAAATTACAATACAGAGAACATACAATTACAATACGGGGGTTTAACTGTCAGTAACTATTCACCTAGAACAGAAATCCCAGCGTAAAAAACCTGACAGAAATGAAAATAAATCGATTTTCTTCAGCTGTAAAGCTGGAGACAAAACGCCAAGTTCCAAGAGACACTTCTTTTTTTTCAGGTTCTTACCGTAAAATCCACGTTTTTTTATTAAAAAAAACTGAATTTGGTGAGGGAAATGAAGTTGCTTTAAAACAATTTCAGGTCCCGATGGGGTGAAGAACTCGGCGGTGAGAGGTAGAGGTGTCGCTGCAATCACAATCTATTGGTTTGTTCTGAGGTAATTAATTAATTGTGAGTCAACAATTATATTGGCAAAAGAGCAACATTGACTAATTACACTAATGACCTCTCTCCTCTCATCAGTAGGTCCTAAAAACTTAATTAGAGGCGTCGGAGTTGACGCTCCCCGGGTCTCCGGCAGGTGAGGTGATGGATGAGGGGGTGGTGGGGTCCTGCCAGCTGCCATTGGCCTGCGGGGACATTAAAACACAGAGAATTCACATCCAATTTCATTAAACGTGGGGCAGAATCGGCGGGTTCAGGGAACAAAAGCCCATCTTACGTCGAGGCGCTGCGTCGTGTACAGGGGGTTCCCCACGAGCGGGTCGTACCTGCCCGTCTGGTGGATGACGTGGTGCAGGGAATCCATCTGCAAATCCCAGCACATCGGGGCAGAAAAGGGGAAAAAAGGTTCTTTAAACGAGATTTTTTTCAGTAAGAATTTCAACAGGAATAAGAATTTAAGTAACATGTAGGATTTAAATAAGAAAAAAAAGAAGGAAGAACTTCAGTGGTAACTTTAAGTGAGGGTTTCAGTGAGAGGAATTTTAGAAGCAGAATTTTAGATGAAGAACTTGAGAACAAGAATTTCATGAAGGATTTCAAGTTGAGGCTTTAAGGGAGAGTAAGGATTTAAGAACAAGAATTAAAATTTCCATAAGAATTTCCATAAGAACTCTCTGGTTTTGCTGGCAACTGAGCTGTTAATTTGGGTCTCAGTTAATTTTACACGAATGAATCGATTCATCCCAAATCAAGGACAGAAATCTGGGATTTTCCCATTTCTCTCCATGCTGAAACTCCCTGTTTTTGTTTCCCTTACTGACCTGGGACTGCACATTGGCTCCCACAGGAGAGCTCTGGTAGGAGGTCAATGACTGCAGGTTTATAAAGGAATCCCCAGAACTGGTCATCTTAAAAGAGCCAGAGGAAGCTGGGGGGAAAAAAAAACAAATAAAGGAATTTTTATTAAAAAAAAAAAATCAGTTTTAATGAGCAACGAACCCACCAGGAGGGATAAGTGGGATTCTCAGGAGGGATAACTGGGATTCTCAGGAGGGATAACTGGGGTTCTCAGGAGGAATAAGTGGGGTTCTCAGGAGGAATAAGTGGGGTTCTCAGGAGGGATAAGTGGGGTTCTCAGGAGGGATAAGTGGGGTTCTCAGGAGGGATAACTGGGGTTCTCAGGAGGAATAACTGGGATTCTCAGGAGGGATAACTGGGATTCTCAGGAGGGATAAGTGGGGTTCTCAGGAGGAATAAGTGGGGTTCTCAGGAGGGATAACTGGGATTCTCACTAGGGATAACTGGGATTCTCAGAAGGGATAAGTGGGGTTCTCAGGAGGGATAACTGGGATTTGGCAGCCCTGGCTCACCCGAGTTCGGCGTCGAGGGGGAGTTGCCCTGGTTGCCCTGGGCCACCACGTTGGTCGCGTCCACGGCGGTTTTGGCAGCGTAAATATTGGCTTCTTCCTGGAACTTCCCCATGTTCTTCTTGTAGCGGATTCTTTTGTTCCCAAACCAGTTGGAAACCTGGTGGAGACACAGCCTGGGCTGAGCACTGGGGCAAAACAGTCCCTTTTCCACAACATTTGGGATTTTCCAGCAAAGGCGGGGTTTGAAACGAGGCTTGGAGCGAGAAATAACCAAGATTAAACCCTGTTTAAACCAGAGCCTGGCTCAGTTTAAGGGCCAGTAACCAAAACCTGTTGCTAAAAAATGATAAAAAATGATTGAATTACTGTTTGAGGGGGGAAAAAGGTGCCTTGCACTCAGGGAAAGCTGCTCCCACCTGGGACACGGTGATGCCCCCTTTCTTGGCGAGCTCCTCTTTGGCCTCTTCACTGGGGTAGGGGTTGCTCAGGTGTGAGTAAAAATACTCATTCAGCACTTCCGTGGCCTGTTTGCTGAAATTGCGCCGTTTACGCCTAAAAAACACGGAACAAATGAGTCATTTCTATTGAATGGTGTTTTACAGGGACTGGCTGGGGCATCTGGTGGCCTCTTTCCCTCTGAAACACGTTTGGTCGGAAGGAGAACGGGAGGACTGAGGGGATGAAGTTTTTGTTAACTGAACTAAAATTAAATTTATTCACACCAAAATGCCATCCCTGCCCACAGGGACCGGGAACACGGCCCTGCCTCTGCAGTTATATTGTGGAATAAATACATTTATATCTCAGATTCCCAATCTCTGCCCACAGGGACCAGGAATTCCAGCCTGCCCTGGGGCTGTACCTGGCGTCCAGGAATCGGGAGCGCAGGATCATGACGGCCTCGCAGGTGCTCTGCTTCAGCTGCATCTGGATGGTGCTGAACTTGCCGTGGATGATGCTCACCATGCGCTCGATCTCCTTGGGGGAGATGGGCCTGGTCCGGCTCTGCTCCCGCAGCAGGTTCATCACGTGCGTGGTGAACTCGCTGCAGGCCTGGGGACACAGGGATTTGTGGCGGCAGCCCCTGCGCTCGCTGCCCCGGCGCCGAGAGCCCCCCCAAAGCTCCAGAGGAGTCTCTTCAGCTGGATTTTACTCTTTTACAAAACTCCACACAGGTACGAGCCGGCCCTGCTCTCTATTTGAGGTGCACTCCCTCCAGCTCGGCCTTTCCGGAGTCCAGCCTGTCCCTGTCCTGGCCTCAGAGCCCACGGCAAAGGGGGAGGGGAGGGGAGGGGACAAAGGGTCATTTGGGTTGGGAGGATAAAAACTCTTCCATGCAGAAAGATCACCTGTTCATATTTCTCTAGCTCAGAGTGGTAAATCTGTCGGATCTGGGACAGCTTGGCCCTGTAGTCAGAGTGCTCAATGCTATTGTCATTGGGACAGCCACCTGATGCCGCTGCTCCCGCCAGCGCTCCAACTCCTCCTCCTCCTCCTCCTCCTCCTCCTCCTCCTCCTCCTCCTCCTCCTCCTCCTCCTCGGCCTCTTTTCTCCGGCCCGGACACCCCCTCTGCCAGCAGCATGTTATCGAGCCTCATGAGCTGAGCATCCGGCGGGTCCTCCTCCTGGATACCACGGATACTCAACACTGCGGGGACAACAAGATGGGAATTGGGATAAAAT